TAACAAGCAGCCTGCAAAATTCTCCAATGGCGCACCGGCTGCAACTGATATGTGCATCGCGTCGGTCATTGTGTCACGACTGGGGCGAGGACGCGTTCCAGTCTTGGCGTGAGATTCACTGGAAAACAAGGACGGCACGCTATGAAGAATGAATACTGGTATTTTGTCATCGACTTCATCGATCATTGTTGAAGACACTGTCGCGAGAGAGATGAATTATCACTCGATATTCTCTCGAAATGAGGTCGCTCCTTTCAATAACGTATGATAACTATGCAATGTTTTTCATCCTTTGTATGCTGCTTTAATGTCATAATCATTATGACACGATTCTCAGAATAAAAAGAAATTCACATTTTCGCTGCAATAAGCGTTTGCAATTTGGTGCGCGATTTATTGTGATGGTCGTGACAGCAATGGTTTTCATCGAAAATGCGTAATTGCCAACCGTTGCTGATCATATTAACTCGATTAATTAACAACTCGTTGTACTTAAACCAGTCATACCTGAAGTGGGACAGATAAAGTTACCTTAGCGCGCGACGATACGTAATCTGGTAATTAACTCGATACTGTCCAATATCCGGCGCGATATCGACGAACGATACGACAGCAAATCGAAAATTGTTGTACCAAAACTATATATGATGTAGAACGTCGGGAGCGAGGCGACAACATATTGTATCGACCGATGCCGAGGATCACGCTTGATTTAACGCGGCGCAGCGTCCCGATGGATCGATAGCTGGGTAATCTACCAGGACACACAAGGATCGGGACCTTTACAGGTCCAATTAACAAACAAACCAATTTAATTAGCATTATCAATGCAATTTCCGCACTGGCATCGGAACTAATATTGGAGGCGGCGGAGGCCGCCGATGTACGTACGCAATGTACACGATATTGGTTCGAGCGAGAGGCGACGAGGAACGGACGGGCCATGTAGTAATTCTGTAATATTGTGGGTGACGGTGGTTAGCCTTAGGGGATGGGCAAACAATGACATCCGACCAACGCGGCTCGATTGCTACGCCACCACCGTGTCGGCATTGAATGACGATAATGTAAATACATTATAGAATTATTTACTCGACATTTTGCAAATTATATGTATACTCCAGATATTCGCGGGAGAGGGAAAAAAATGCAACGATGTTATTAAGCCGATATATTTAATTGATGTGTGCTGTTAATCGTAATTAAGTGTCTTTGATGGGATAATCGTACGCTATTATACGTTGTTTAACTGTTTGTTGCATAAATGTTCGATATTGCATAGATGAGAATATGGATTTAATTGTGACAGTAAGCTAATGTTCAGCTAGATAGACGTATAAATAATAAGCGTTGGGGATACGTTGTGTATGAGGTCAGGTTACATGTATTAATGTAGAATATAATGTTGATTGTGTATAATGTATGGATTCGCGGATCTGCGCAGCATTATATCAGACAAGTTCGCGTAGAAATCTTATAAGTTATTGCAACGCCCGTAGAAATTATCCAGTTGTGTAAAAAAATGACTATTAGTCTCGAACGCTTAATCAGGATTGCTGAGGGAATAATTTAAATATATATGGACACGTTTACGTAAAACGAACAAGCGAGCGGGTCGAAAAAGCGAGTATCATGGAGATGAAAACACGTATGCCACAAACAATAAATCTCACCCGTCCCAAGTCCGAGCCACTACTCATAATTATAGGAAACCGTTAAGCCGTTATTATTTATTGGCCAAGTCGTTAATGGATCAATAACATTTCTTTTTTCCTAGTTTACCGTGTCGATAGCAATACATAAAGTGGCCAGCATTAAAGCGCGTGTACGCGTGCGCGCGCTTGTGTCTCATGCACACACATTGCCGGAAATGGGAGCGGTAGCAGCGCCGTAATATACTACAAACATTTGCGTTGTTTCACACTGTCTCTCATATTTGTCAGGAACTACCGTTAAATGACAATGTCTAACTCATTTACCGCGCATTAAACCACATGGTTCCCTATAATGATCCACTAAGAGGATTCTATTCGATATTAATTTCAGAATCATTCTATTTAAGGATGAAATATATTTTACATTACGAGAATAACTATTATATTAATTAAAAGATCGAAGATAAGAACATCGCGACGCGAACATCGCCACAGCATTTTGTGAAAATTTGAAGATATGAGATTTTATTGGAAATAATTTTCTCGAGGAAAAATCCAATACTTTCAAAAAACGAGAGAAACGAGCATTGACGTTACACTCGAATAAACTAATTTCGCTCAGCCATTTTGCACATTCATAGAATATATTCAGTGGTTTGACTAAATTTTTTTACTTATATCAAAGAAGAATAAAATGGCAAAGCTGTCGTTTTAATTTCCTTTTGGTTTGTAGATTTATTGCATTTATTTATTTTTCAGTTAAACGCATCACATGACTAGGAAAAAATTAATCCGTATATTACGGAATAACTGTATCGTGTTATTTCTGATATTGAACTTATTTAAAAATAGCCTGTTATTGAATAAGTTATATTTCTACCTCAATCGCGAATCATCTATATTAAGCTCTAGCGTTATCTTTGTAAATTATGCACACCCCCATAATATTAGATGAGGCTAAGAGCTGACGCTTAAATTGGGTCGACACGATCCGGGGATTTCAATATTCACACTGCGGTTAAAGATCAGGACTAATCCAAATGCGATCAGATGCATTACGTAGGAGAAATCACCATGCAGGGTAGGAACGTAAATGTTTGCCCAAGCCTCTGTGCCGCAGGTTAGATTGCGGCCGCCTTGAGCGTCGGGAAAGGTTAAACATCTGAGAGTGCGGTAAGTAATACATAATCCCAACGTCCGATCGCGCACAAGGGGCATACTTGTAGCCGTATTAAATCTGGTTGAGTCACGCGTGATAAAACCGACACGCGCAATTGAATGGGCGAGCGGTTGCGTGATCGTCGTGAATTACTGGCGCTCGCGAGTGCCATAAAAAAAAAATACGCACACGGTTTACCGGCCGTAATGGCGACGCGAACATTGATAATCCTCAGCGATTTCCATCAGTTCGCCTAGTTCTGAAGTTTGGTCTTGTTGGAACGGTTGGCAGTTCACAACTTCGCGTTTCCAAATTGCAAACCATCATAAATAAGCACGCTTATCTCGTCAAGTGTCGTCGCCAAACTCAGTGCGCTTCGCATTTCTGTGCGAATTATGGCATCGTCAAACCGAGTTTGTCCGCTTGTTAAGACGGGCGTAATATAACGGTACGGATGGCGCCGTATCGCGAATACACCCAAGTACCAACGATAATGGGTTCGCGGGAACTTTGTGTGTCGCTAAACGGAGCAAATTAAGATATTGATGAGCGTTGCGGCGATATATTTATACCGCGGCATTATTTACGCGCTTTTTCCATTTGTATCGCGTCGCTCCGTTTCCGCAAACGTCACGACGCGTCGGGAGGGAAAACGCGAGGAAAATTTCCTTTCGCAGAAGTAAGACACGAGCAAATACCGTTTCTCCGCCGTGCAGACAAGATATTAAGCTGTTGAGACGAAAGTTGAGAGCTTTATAGAACCCGTAAGACTCATCAATTTCCCGGTATTTCCGATCGGTCAATCCTGCAGAGACAGCAACATCATTGCGCGCAATCCCATTGACGGTGAAGAATGAAAACTCCGTTTAACAATATCGCTTATTCAAGCGCGTCGGCACCCGTGCAGACTTTCTTCGCCCGTGCCGAGATGATCGATTGTGCTCGCGCGCACGGGGTTCCTCAGTCAAAACTGCACCCGCGCTGACGATCAATATGCCGTGGCCTTCTCGTATATTTCGCGTTTCCGCGTGACTGCCCGTGTACTTGAAAACAACAATACTGCGTTAAAGCTCGCGATGCAACGAGCGGTTTGTAACGCGCGATACCGCCCGCATTTCTCCTCGCTTCGCCGCTGATTACGTCATAAAATACAACGAAGAGCGACGTGCGATCGCACGACCTCGTTGTATCAAGGTTACGCCGGCGTACATCGTAAAACGTATTTTACGGGATCGACGTTGCCTTCCGGTTGTGTTTCGTGGTCGTTTGTTGGTTCTCCCATTCATTCCGCCCGGCGCGCGTATATGTTCGCGCGCTGTGTCACCTCAGTCCGGCTATACTTTGCGAGCAAAACTTCCCGCTTATTCGTTTACCGAAACAAGCGCGTAATTTCGTTAGAGAAACTCGCAGCGTCGGCGGTTTCACCTCGTTATACGGAAACTTTCCGCGATCCCGTATGAAAAAGAATATAGGCGGTACGGAGCAACGGGCAACAGCTGCAACGACGCGGCGCGCTCGCCGCAATAATTTCCATTCCACGCGATTATTCGCGAATTGTTCACGGTGTACCGCACGGGTGCGCCCGCGCGCGCGATAACGACAGAAGAGTTTCTTGCTGGCGGCGGCTGTGGCCTATTTGTTACCATTTGGCTCGTAACGCTCTGACAAGGCATAAATTTTCCTTTCATCCGATACGTCAGAGTTAACGGTCGCTGTGCGCGCACGGTAACGCGTGCGAGACCGTGCGTGCGTGACTAACCGCGCCACCAGATATATCTCGACCACCGCGAGGAGCGTGTGGCGTGAAAGAGAGACGGAGAGGCCGCGGGATACAACAAATTGCCAATCTCAACCGCGGTAACCAACTGCTAAGGGTCTACCCGACTCACATCAACATTCCTCCCCGCAACAATTTTGCTATTTCAAACGGAGGAACTTGACGTTTCTCTTTCAGCGATCCCATTTGTCGCGAAGATATAGCCGCGGCGAGGCGCGTAAATGTGTGATGCGAAATGGAATGCCGCGATTTAAAAAGCTTGTGACATGTGTACGTAACTTGCTTATGCATCGATAACAATTAATATCGGGTTGGGGAATTTAATTGCTGCCTTTAACAAAGTATTTCATAACGCAGCGCAGATGTTATCGTTTGTATCGTGCCTCTTTTTTTCGCAATTAATAAGGCAAGCATGTTATTAATGCTTTAATAGATTTTACTTGGATTTTCATGTACTTGTAATTCTCATGATATCGTGTTATATTGTAATATAAGAACAATTATACATTTTTATTTGCCGCTTCTAAAATTCGATGTAGTCAATATTTGCGCTGCGTTGTCGTACAACTCGATATATTTTCGTGTGTTTAGCCAACAACATTCTTATACAAATTCATCCAGAAGTCCGCCCTGTTTTGCAATATGCCTTTCTCCATTGTTAACTCTTGATTAATGTTCATATAATTATCTTCTTTGCCTCTCGGCTCCCAATTCACGTTTACGTAATCATTCATATTCGATGTAGGGTTTCTGAAAATTAATTTTTTCTTATTTATATTTGTCATTGCATTAATGAAGGATTGCCTGAAACATACCCGTCTTTTGCAAAATTTGCCAATAACGTGGTAAAAATGCGCGTCATTTTCTCCGCAGGAGAGCCAGATTGTGGCACATTTTTCAAAATGTCCGAATAGAATTCATAAGTCATGTCGTCGCCATGGGCAACACCTATTTGAAATAAACAAATCCTATTAATTAAAGTAGGATACATTAGGATCGTGTCTTTGTCGCAATCTGAATAAATGGAACAATAAGAGCGTGCTTAATAATAAAGAGGGAAAAAGTATTTTCCACGACACGTTATGGAGTTTCTAACTCACCCTCTTCCACTTGAAACAAACTCTTCATCATACCGAATGGAGCTTCGTAAGAAAATAAGTACTCGTAAATTGGAGCCGAAATTCGGGTGCTTAATATCTCTAAACTGAGAGCAGTCGCAACGTCAAACATGACGTCGTCCAACATCTAAAATGCACAAACAGCTATAATATGCACGTCGTTAAACTCACTACGCGCTGCTTGCACAAAGTTTCGTGGTAGCGAGACGATATTAACGTTAAGCACTCACCATCATAAACTCTTTCGTCGTTTCCGTCGAGATCGACTTATCCTCGAAGTAGAAGCTCTTCAGGTTTTCACCCAGTTGGTTCTTTTGCCCGGCGTCGGTTACATTCAAGTCGTCCGGCAGAAAGTTTTCGAAGTGTTCATTCATCTGATCGATATTGCCGAGCATCACTGAAAACAAATGTGTGGATATCGTTTACATGACGCCGAGCGTGTAACTTCAGCGTGTAATATCATGTCATATGATTACTCTGCACGAAGTACGAGGACTCGTCGGCCGTGATTCCGGCCATAACAGGCACGTCGGCAATTTTTCCGGTCTTCAGCAGCGTCCACGGATCGGCGGGCAGAAATATTTCTTGTCCTAGGTCAATCTCAACCGACGGAATAAACGCCGCGAAACGGCCGTTCATAGTGTTCTGCAATGACGCAATCAAAATGATTACCGGCACTCAGTACTCATTAGCGTAATGTCTGCGTTCGCATACATATTTGGGTACCGTAAACTTCAATTAATGTAACGCTACCTCTCGTACGCGTAATAACGAGGTTCTACATTCAATTAACGCAATATCTGCTCAATGAATGTTATCGAAAAAAGTCACGTCAAGCGCACTGCCGCATACCTCGGTCTTTATTAATTCCATACTGGCCGTGATTAATTCTTTCGCACTAAATTCCGCGAGTCTGGCAACTAGCTCAGCAGAATCGCTGGTTTCAATCTCCAGTTTATCGCCCAATTTGAAAGCCATCTCCCTGGGATTGTAAGACATCGCCCATGTGTTAACCGCGCTTCCACTCTGCTGAATAGCGCTGTTAAACAAACCTGTAGCGCAGTAAATCATGTTGTAGGATTTTAAATGGACAAAAGTTTGCTTCAATCAAGCACACATCTCACCATCGGACATAGGAGACATCATGTGAAGCTGCACGGAACTTGCGCCCGCGTCCTCGCCGAAGATCGTAACTCGGTTGGGACAGCCGCCGAAATAATGTACGTTATCCTTCACCCATTTCAGCGCCATCACCTGATCTTTTAATCCGGCGTTGCCAGGCGCATTCTTGTCGCCGGTGTTTAAAAATCCTATAAATCAATCATAACTATTTATCACGCCACGTAAATTTTAAAGATGAAACTTATTTGAATAAAGTAAATCGCGGAGTCACACACGATAGTTTATTAATGCAATTACTTACCAAGGGGGCCGAGTCTATAGTTGAGCGTTACAAGAATGACGTCCTGCTCGACTAAAAAGTCAGGCCCGAAGAACGAATCGTCACCGGAGCCGCCGTTAAAGTTACCACCGTGGAACCATACCATAACGGCTCTGCGAGCCTCTTTGTCTAATACCGGAGTGTAAACATTCAGGAAAAGACAATCTTCTTCGCCAAGCATGTCTTGCTCTAGCACGTTGAAGAACGGACAAGTCGACCGATGGTAGGTCGCGTCGTACGTGCCTTCCCAAGAATCGGCTGGCTCCGGCATCTTCGAAATTAAAGCTCGAAATATTCATTTATTGAACAATCAACATTGCTCGCGCAATGTTTCGATGCCAGTTTATTTTTTTTTTTTTTAATGTAGAAACAGTTCACAAAAATAAGCGTATGTATTATGCATGAATGTAAATTTGGCAATCAACTTACCTGGAATTTATTAAGACCGATATTGGGCTTTGCGTATGGTATCCCTTTGAAGCTATAATAGGGCTTGTTCTGTAAAACAGTATTGGTCTTCAGACCCTTCAGAAATCCCTGAGGAATTTCTAATTGAACATTCTGCTCGGCCTCGGCCCACGCGATCACGAACGCACAAAACACAAACTTGTGAAACCACATTTTGACTCTGCGAAAAGATTGCCGCGTCGCCCACCTTATATATCTTCAAAACACATGTTGATGGTCAAATGAATGGATTATAGCGGACTATATTTACGCAATCATTACCTAGAGGAGATAATAGCGCGAACGGGTTACCCATGTAGCAATTTACGAGAAGCCTCCGTAATCTCGCGTGTCATAACTGTAACCGCGATGTCGGGTTTTCGAGTAGAATTGTCAGATCGGATTTCCTCAGTTTATCTTTAACCTCGATACATAATCTCTATTAGATTCATAATGTGCTTCCTGAAATTTATTGTAATCCGCAATAAGGTACATCGTACAAATTGCGTTGCTTTTCAGGAACCGCGAATAAAAGAGATAAATTGCTCTTTATTACCGCCTTTACAATTGTGCACGTTGTACATATTCATAAATTGTTTTTTTTTTTTTCGCGATATTCGGTAAAATCACATTTTATCTATCGTTGAAAAATGTTATTTCATAACCACTCGTTGCATTTCGTCAAGTAGTACGGTTGGATTAGGTTGCGGAAAAATATAGAAAACCTTCCGCGATTAAGACGAGTCATCGTTGATCATGCAGTTAAGAATTACCTATCATTATAAACCAGCAAAACTAAAATTTTCCAGTTTTCATCTGCGCATCTGTCTATTAAATTTATTTACAAACAGAAGTAAAATAGCATTTTTAAGAAATATTCCCTTAAAAATAATTTTAATATTATTTATATAAAATGTATTTAAATTTTTTAAATATTTTCTTGAGATAGTAAATAATTTTATGTTGTACAGTTTTCATGGTTAAATAATTCAAATTTTTCGATAAACGGCGAAAAAATATTCCAGACTAATTAGTCTGCGCTCAAGATATCCTATATTGGAAAAATTAATCACGTTACATATTATTATTATTATTATTATGTAACGTTACGTGATAATGTTATGTTCGAACATGTCAGAAGTGCTGAAAGTCGCAATGTTTTCGCAGTGACGGAAAATTTCAAGCAGAATTTTAAGGCAGAGCACATGAAGTGCACTCGAAATGAATAAATTTCTACAACTTGCTTTTATATCCATGCAAATAGGAAAGCAGATATAAAGGAAAGAAATGAAATGAGCATAGCTGCGCAAACTAAGTAGAGCGAATTTTGAACGCCATAATGATTAAGGTCATGTACTTAATACAAACTTTACGAGTTAAGCGGTAATTAAGGTCGAGTTAAGAGAGGAGTAATTTGAATTTCTTCGATATTCAGATATATAGATTTGCAGTATTGCCACTTTATGACATAATTAAAACTTCTGACGATAAATATATTGATAAATATATTTTGACAATATCAGTCAGAAAATTGAAGAATTATTCTATTCTTCAGGCGGCCTTTAAAACGAAGGCATCTTTTGTAAAAATTTAGTGACACATAATTATGATTCTTAATATTTAATCAGGCGTAACACACGTGTGTCGCTTTAAATCAGCTTTCGGCATCGACAAACGACGCAATCGAAAAAATATGAAATTGAAGTAAATCTTGTGCGCGTGATTTTCCGCTTTAACGAACGATCCGACGGTTTCTGACAATCTGTTCGCTGCGCTAGGGAGAAGGAAGATACGTTCCGTGAGCAATTGCAGCCGTCCACCCAGCGTTCCCCCGAGTGAACTTCAGTCTGTTTCGAGCGTGCCATCGAATTTTTCAAACTTCAGCGTGATTTTCCATGAGGAGTTCCTTCGTCGACGTCGACGATTCTCTTGAAAGCGACGTTGCCCGTCGCCATGAATGTGGCGTCGTATTCAGACCGAACTTATGCAAAGCAGCCGATAGGTACACACTCAACCTCGCGTCGCAGGCAATCGTTATTCCTTCGATCGGCAACTTCGATCGTGTATTTTTTCCCGCTAAATAAAGTATTTTAGAAGATCGCGTCTGATCCGAGAAAAGAAGATACAGATATAAATTAATTTGCATATTCAAGCGAGGTGGATCTATAAAGTAAAAGAGGACAAGCCGATCGATAAGCAGTTTTATACAACGACAAGGAATACGCTTCCTACTTTTTTTTCGTAAATAGAATATCCGCTTACAGCAAGCTGCTTTCAACGGTCGCCGCTAGGGAAAAGACAAAAGGGTAGACATGGGACACTTGCGAAATATGACCACTTTGTCCGCGCCCTGGCATCGACGGCTCTTGCTTCTACACGTTTTCTACCTGAGAGACTTACGGCCCAGTTTCGCGTTTCAAAGCTACTTTCAAGTCGAATTTTAATCAACATGTTAATTTTCAAGAAACAAGCCACACGTGAAAACAGTAATTTGAGGCGAACATTAATGTCATTTGCTTTCAGTCGCTCGATTTCAGGTGTGCAAATGTAACAGGAACTTCAAATACATCCTTGCTTCATCTCCCTTACGCATAATAAGATGAAAAGTTACGTAACAATAGGGAATCTTCTTTCTTATTGTTGGCGCCGCTTCAAAAGTACATTGTTCGCCTCTTAATAAACCCTTTGCGTACATACAGCGCAGTACAGTATATTTGAAAGAGGGCCGCATCAATGTTGTTGTAATGGTATTCGGTGTGCTGCGCATGCAAGTAATTGAATAAACAGCTTGTGAAAAAACAGTGAAATTTCAGCCCGCAATATGCGAATGCGGAAGGTCAAGTGCTCAATCGTGCAGACGCGGTTGTGCAGTTTGCAAAACGCATCGCGGCAGTGATAAAAGAGACCCGCGCGAATTTATGAACGGACCGGCGGATAGTCGTGAGCCGTTTAACTGCTCGTTGTTTGCTCGAATTACGGGCCATTGACACCGGAAAAAATTTCGGATAATACGAAAACAACGCGGCCGAGCAGGGGTCGGGCCGACGAACGGTGGTCCGTGAAATAAAACGCGGATATTTTTTTTTTGCCGCCGCCCTCGCACTCTGTCTGTCATCGCGCGCGCACCATCAGCGATTCTCTACGGCGATTCCGGCAAGTTCCGTAATGGACAAAGCACGCGCGGATTTGACACATTTCCGCATCGTACAGAAAAGCGTGCTGAAAGCATATTTTCACCTTTCCTCCCACGAGCATTTTTTTTCCTCCCATGACTGAATCAACGGCTAGCCATCACTCAGGTGCGCCACTGCCCTCTCTCGAGCTTTTCACTTTGTTTTAATAGTTTCGTTCTTTTGCGGCTATTCATCCCTCTTTGTCTCTCTTTCCTCTTTACCGCTATCT